CCATCATACTGTATGTATAGTTGGGGTTATTTTTCCCGATGTGCATTACTTTACACTTATCCACATTAAATTTCATTTGCCATTTTGTTGCCCAATCACTCAGTTTGGTGAGATCTTCTTGGAGTCCCTCACAGTCTGCTTCTGTCTTGACTATCCTAAACAGTTTGGTATCATCCCCAAACTTCACCACCTCACTGCTTACCCCTTTCTCCAGATCATTTATGAATAAGTTGAAAAGGATTGGTCCCAGGACTGACCCTTGGGGGACACCACTAGTTACCCCTCTCCAATCTGAAAATTTACCATTTATTCCTACCCTTAGTTTCCTGTCTTTTAACCAGTTCTCAATCCAAGAAAGGACCTTCCCTCTTATCCCATGGCCATGTAATTTACACAGGAACCTTTGGTGAGGGACCTTGTCAAAGGCTTTCTGAAAATCCAAGTATACTATATCCACTGGATCCCCCTTGTCCGCATGTTTGTTAACCCCTTCAAAGAACTCTAATAGATTAGTAAGACATGATTTCCCTTTACAGAAACCATGTTGACTTTTGTCCAACAAATTATGTTCTTCTAGAGCCTCAGTCACTTAGTTGGGAGAGAGCTTTTTGAAGCTCTGCACAGTCTGCTTTGGTCTTAGCTACCCTGAGCAGTTTATTATTGTCTGCAAATGTTGCCACCTCCCTGTTTACCCCGTCTCCAGATCATATTCATCCAGGAGTTCCCTTTCTCAACCAATCTTGTACTCTCATCCAAGAGTGAAACCCAGCTTGTTTGCTACGACCTATTTCCACAGCACTCTGCTGGCTTGCGGTAAGGATATATCCATGGCCGTTACATCTCCAGCAGCTGACACCCGTAGCAGCTAGCCCCTCAATGCTGCAGCTCCCTTTTGGAATGTGGGCACCACACGCGTGCAGGTGGAACCTCGCTAGGCCTGACGGGTGCTGAACCCCAGGGCGGCACCAGCAGCACTGCCCCTGCTTGCTGGGCTCTGATCCAGCTAACAAATCCCCCGCACCAGAGAGGTTCAAGCCCGAACTCTTCCCGTTTACTGCCGGTTCCTCAGAATGCCAGGGCTTACTAAAAATGAGCACCAGTGGACCAGGGAGCGCCTCAGCCACATTTAGGACTCTTGGGTGCAAGTCCTACAGGCTGGCTGAGCGTATCCCTGGCAGTTGTGGTCTCGCACTCCTCAGCCGTAATGGATGGAAAAATACTCTCTCACCCTCCTGTGAGACAAGCCATCAGCCTGCTTTTCCCAAACAGAGCAGGAGTATTTCTATGAACAGTGTTACCATCTGTGTCATGCAATTGGCCAACGCCACTGCTAGGATTTACTTGGTTCCTGATATACCCCAAGAAGCCCCTCCTCCCCGGCCTTTGCCCTGCCAGCAATGGATTTTTCCATCTTTTGATTAAGCTTCCTAGCCCTTTTCTAAACTTCCTAACTTCTAGGTATTCTATCGCCCTTCTTTGCCAGCTTGTCTCTTGGTGATTTCCAACATGATCTTTTCGCCACATTTCTTCCCTTTCTTGGCTGCGGCGTTGTGGCTTTTTGGCTATCTAATTACTTTCCAGTTTTATTTACATTCTTCTGCCTACATGTGTTTTTGCTTCCACTGCTCCCAATTTCCCCATGCTTTGGGAAATTAACTCTTTAGAAGCACCCAATGTCTTTTATTGGCTGGGACTGCTCTCTGTGTGCTCGTGTTGAACGTACGCTGGTCATGATCACTGGTCCCTAGGTAACCTCCAACTTCTACGCCAGTGATCAATTCATCTGTATTTCTTAAACTGGGGTCCACCATAGAGTTGCTTCCTGGGGGGTGCTATACCTCTGCTGCTGGAAAACCAAGTGTTCCCTCCCCTCGAGGCAGGGCTAGCCAGCTGCCTTCCCCAGAGTGGAGCCAGGCGCTACTGACCTGCCGGCCGTTTGGTTAGGTTGAGGCAGTCTGCGTGGTACACTTTTGGGCAGCCCGTCTTCTTACAGGAAACCAGCTGCCCTCCGTCTCCGCAGCTGAAGCACTCGTCCTCTCGTTCTTTCAGGACCTCTGCCTGCGGCCTGCGCTTCACCTGCTGCCGCCTCCGGAACTTCTTCGACTTCTCCTCTGTCAGGCTGGGGGGATTCTGCAAGCAAGAGTGCACAGATTGACACTGGGCTCTGCCCCTCCCCTCCGGCTGATCCAAGCAAGTGGCACAGGCCACGCGGATGCACCCTCCAGAACAAGGCAACGGGGCCACGGACGGAATCCCCCCAAAGCGCCAGCCAGCCTCACCTTGCTCGGCCGCTATTTGTAATCGGAACTGAGCCCTGATCCCCGGGCTACTGAATCCCAGACCTCCGGCTGGGTTTTTACAAATTAAAGAATTAAAAGCAGATTTGCTTTAATGACCTGAAGGGACCAGAGCTAGGGACAGGGATCCCATGGCTGTTAGGACTGACTGACCAGGCACCATCTTTGCAAACCCCTCCCAGTACATCCCAGGAGCTAGGCTGAAGCGAGCGAGACGCGAGTGGTGCTTTCAGCCCCAGTGAGAGCAGTGGGAAAGCACCCCACCCTGCTTTGCACGGGATGCCACTGCTACTGAATCCGCTCGCGCAGCTGTTCCCAAACGTCTGCAAATCCAGCTGTTGCCGCTGCCGTATCGCACTGAGCGGGAAGATGAAGATGTTCACTGCATGGTATTTAGCAAGGGCAAAACTAACACACAGTGGGAACAAGACGGCTGCTTAGCAGGATTAAGAGACTCAGGCGAAGGCAGGTGTCAGACACTGGGCTGCCCGAGCAGTTTCCACTCAAAGCCTCTTCCTTCTCTAGCTGGTTTCCACCCTTGGGCTGCGCGGTGGGCCTGGAACAAAGCCGGTGAGTAACATAAGGATTTTCTGACACGCATTTTTTCCACCGCAGCAGGAACAACGTCCAACAGTCATATCCACGGCCCTCTCGCCAGGCCCTGTCCTGCTCCCAGGAGCAGGCGTGTGCCGGAGCGAGACAGAAATGCCACGCAGGAGCCGGGGAGCGAGGGAGGGGCTGCGTGGAACACGGGGAATTCCAGCAGCAAGGGAAGAGCCTGCAAAACTGACCCTGGCTGGGGACTTCCTCCACAGACCTACAGGTCAGACCTAGCGCCATGGCTCCCGGCTGTGGAAACCCTGCGCCCTGTCCAATGTGTGCTGGGTGTCTGGGGACGCTCCCGGCCTGAGAAGGGAGGATCTGCCAGAACTTGCGCCCTGCATGAGGGAAGAGAGGCCCTGCGCTCTAATGGAGTCAGTACTGTCCCCCCAGAGACACGTGGCTCTTCGGCCCACAGCTCCCCGCCGCGTTTTCAGGCACCAATGTCACTCCCCCACCAAAGGCAGTAAGCCATCGGGGCAGTGAAGCCACAGGGAACTCAGTCACCAGACATGGGGATCCTGTGCAGCCCCAGGTGGAGGAGGAGCAGTGTAAGGCCACTAAGGACCTTATTTGAGATCATGGTACTGAATCCCAGAATCCTAGACTCATCGACTCCTAGGGCTAGAAGGGACCTCGAGAGGTCAATCACAGGATCCTAGGGCTGGAAGGGACCTCAGGAGCCATCGAGTCCAGCCCCCCGCCCGCGGCACCCCAGCCAGGGCTTTGTCAAGCTGACTTAAAAACCTCTAGGGATGGAGACTCCACCCCCTCCCTAGGGAACCAGCCCAGCGCTTCACCCACTTCCTAGTGAACTAGTTTTTCCTAATATCCAACCTTGACATCCCCCACTGTAACTTGAGCCCATTGCTCCTTGTTCTGCCACCCATCACTACTGAGAACAGCCTCCCTCCGTCCTCTTTGGAACCTCCCTTCAGGGAGTTGAAGGCTGCTCTCAAATCCCCCCTCACTCTTCGCTTCTGCAGACTAAACAGACCCAAGTCCCTCAGCCTCATGATCACAGGTCATGCTAACAGACCCAACTCCCTCAGCCTCTCCTCATAGGTCATACGCTCCAGCCCCCGAATCATTTTGGTCGCCCTCCACTGGACCCTCTCCAGCGTGTCCACATCTTTTCTATAGTGGGGGGCCCAGAAAAGGCCACAATACTCCAGCTTTGGCCACATCAGAGCTGAATAAAGGGGAATAATCACGTCTCTGGATCTGCTGGCCATGCTCCTCCTCATGCACCCCAATATGCCATTAGCCCTCTTGGCTACAAGGGCACCCTGCTGACTCATGTCCAGGTTCTCAGCCACTGGAACACCCGGGTCCTTTTCTGCAGAACTGCTACTTAGCCAGTCAGTCCCCAGCCTGTACCAATGCCTGGGATTCTTCCCTCCCAAGGGCAGGACTCGACACTTGTCCTTGTTGAACCTCATCAGATTTCTTTTGGCCCAATCCTCTAATCTGTCCAGGTCACTCTGGACCCTTCCCTGCCCTCCAGCGTATCTACCTCTCCGCCCAGCTTAGTGTCATCCGCAAACTTGCTGAGGGTGCAATCCATCCCCTCATCCAGGTCTTTAATAAAGATGTTGAACAAAAACGGTCCTAAATCCGAACCTTGGGGCACTCCGCTAGAAATTAACTGCTAACCTGACATCGAGCCGTTGATCACTACCCGCTGGGCCCAACAGTCCAGCCAGCTTTCTATCCATCTTACCGTCCATTTATCCAATCCACATTCCCTTAACTTGCTGGCAAGAATATTGTGGGAGACCGTATCAAACGCTTTGCTAAAGTCAAGGTAGATCACATCCACTGACTTTCCCATGTCCACAGAGCCAGTTACCTCAGCATAGAAGCTAATCAGATTGGTCAGGCACGACTTGCCCTTCGTGAATCCATGTTGATTATTCCTGATCACTTTCCCCTCTTCCAAGTGCTTCACAATGGATTCCTTGAGGATCCCCTCCATGATTTTTCTGGGGACTGAGGTGAGGCTGACTGGTCTGTAGTTCCCTGGATTGTCCTTCTTCCCTTTTTTAAAGATGGGCACTACATTTGCCTTTTTCCAGTCATCCGGGATCTCTCCCAATCTCCACAAGGTTTCAAAGATAATGGCCAAAGGCTCCGGCCAACTCCCTCAGTACCTCGGATGCATTAAATCTGGGCCCATGGATTTGTGTATGTCTAGCTTTTCTAAATAGTTCTTAACCTGGTCTTTCCCCACCGAGGGCTGCCCACCTCCTTCCCATACGGCGTTGCCTAATGCATTAGTCTGGGAGCTGACCGTGTCCGTGAAGACAGAGGCAAAGAAAGCATTGAGTACTTCAGCTTTCCCCACATCATCAGTCACTAGGGTACCTCCTTCATCTAGTAAGGGCCCCACCTGCTCTGAGTTCGCAGCCTTAGCCGACGCTGGCGAAGTGGTCTCCAAGTGTCCCTGGAGGCAGAGTCTGCCCCCGAAGGCCTCTCTTCAGAGAGGGCCTGGACCCAGCCCTCCGGCTCGTCTCTGGACGTGCACAGGCCCCCAGCTGAGGTCATACCACTCCAGGCCCCGCAGACGCCAGCGACAGCAGCCAGGACAGGACCAGCTGAAAGCTCCTTCAGGCTCTAACCCACCCTCTGGAAGGTGCACCCAAGGGCAGACACCAGCTGGACTCTCTCCTCCCTGAGTCGTCTGTCCCAGTCTTACCGGGCAGGTTCCTAATTGCCTGAGACCGTGGAGTGCTCAGTTCTGCTCTCACCCTCTAGCCCAGCCCTCTTCAGGGACCCTTCTCGCAGGCAATTCCTCAGACAGCAGGGACGGGCCACCCGGACTTGGGAGCAGGTTCCTAGGAGCTCAGGGGAGGGGATTTTACTCCCGAGACTTCCTCATCCCCAAGGCAAAGGGAGGCCTCAGGCCTATTGTGGACCTGAGAGGACGGGGCGCTGCCTTCCACCTTGCTGCCAGCCCAGCCCACGGGCCATCGCTTTGGGGTGCGCTCTGGCAGCTGTCCTCCGGCACACTGGTTCAGGTCTACCCCCACCTGGACTGGCTCTGCAGAGGACGAGGCCGACAGCAGGCAGAAGCAAAGCTTCGTGGTTCTTGACTGGGCCTCATGCTCAACACGGACATGCCGGTCCTCATTCCCACTGGGGGCAGTGCCAGACACAGGCATCCCTGCCCGAACCACACTTGGCTGGACTGTCTCAAATCACCTGTCCCTACCCACCACCACATGGCAACGCCTCCCATTCCTGGGGCATATGGTGGCCTGCACATGTGGTCACAGGCCCGAGGCAGACTCGCACACCTGACCAGCGCCAATGTATTGCCTGCACCGTGGCAGCACAGGTGTGGCGGTGATGATCTCCCACCACGTCCTCCAGATGCTTTGACAGTGGCTGGACCTGGACGTGGTGTGTGGAGTCACGCTCCCACCCACCAGGGCGTCCGCGATCAGACAGCTCAGATGGCCACGGAGCAGTGTGACTCGCCTGCCAGGCACTCCTGCCTCACGTCGGGGGGTGGGGGGCACCGTGGTCTATGCCAACTGACAGGGTGGACCCAAGTCTTCGCCCCTTTGTCAGGAAGCCTTCCAGCTGGGAGAGCTGCATGCAGCCCACTTCATCCTCCTAGGACTCCGCCCCAGCTGGCGGCTCCGCACTCGCGAGTGGTCCCTCCATCCAACATTATCCACACCATCTCCCAGAGGTGGGGCTCCCCAGCCAACAGGAAGTACCAGCTGATGGCTTTCTGCCCCCGTGGTG